AAATGCAGGAAGATCACAGGCAAGTGGGTGGGAAGTCTTATAGATCCAGTGGCGTTGTAAGCATCTCAGTGCTGGCAGGAGTTTCCACGTGGCTTCTCTGACTCCAGAGGTCTGGCTCCATCAGCCTCTCGCTATGTGTCTTTCTCCACAGGGAAGCCTCACAGGGAGTGAACATGTGTCCTGTCTCCAAGGAGCTATTTTTCTCCTTAGCACCTCCAAATGAGGTAATCAAGCTACTATATGATTGAAAGGCTACACTCCACCCTTTCACTCTGTATCTTCAGATTGACACTAGATTATGTAACTACCACACAGAGAAAGTAAATCCCATCTCCTTTCAACATGATAGACCTTCAAATATTTGAATTAAAAAGGAATTTATGCAATGTCATCTGCACTTCTATACTTGCAACTTCTCAACTCTTCTGCAGATGTTTATTCTTCATGTTAAGCATCTCCACTTTTCCTTAAGCATTTCATCTGGCAAAATGAGCAGGCCATTAACTATCTAAGACATGTTCTCCTAACTGAATTTCATTTGCCTAGGTACCTCATAATTTGGGGGCATTCTCGGCGTAGTCTGACCAGTGCAGAACACAGAGGGGCATTCACTTTCTTTGACCAAGGCATCTATTCCAGCAATTCCAGCAGCTTGAGGTCATATTAGCATTTTTGACACTCAAGTATCCTGTTGAGTTGTGTTAATCTCTGTTATCTGAATCCCCCATGTCTTTTTCACATAAACTTTTATTAAGATTTCCCACATTCTGTACTTAGGTATATAATCTTACAGTTAAATGAAGTCATTTATATAGCTTATTATTGAACTTTAACTAGGTGGATTAAACATATTGCTCCAGAATGTTGCCATACCTCTGAATTCTCAATAGGTACATCTGATGACTTGAAAAATACCTTTATGCTGTCTATATCTTCAGTTAAATAATTAATACAATTGTAGACAAAGACAATTTCAAGTATAATGTCTATGACACATTCTTAGAGTCAATCTTTGGTTGCTACCAATTAGAATCCTTGAATGGCACTGTTTAACCATCGTTGAATCAACGGTTGTGTGTCTACCTAAAAACCTTAACAGGGGTCCTTAAACTTTTTAAACAGGGGGCCAGTTCACTGTCCCTCAGACCCGTTGGGGGGGGGGCGGTGGACTATAGTTTTAAAAAAAAACTATGAACAAATCCCTATGCACACTGCACATAACTGATT